AAACCTTAAAAATTAAGTCCCACAGTTTGGAGCACACAAAAACAACATCTGCACACATGGGTCACCATCAGAGAGGCATACTGCTATATCCCATCTTCAAATTAATCCTGGCAGTCACCATCAGCTCCAGCTTAGTACTACTGCTCCTGTGGCTAGTGAAAGTCAGGTCCTAATTCAAACCCAGGGCGTCTTCAATCTTTTATTTAGCCTATAATATGCAACCTTCTGTGGAAACACAACTTGGAAAGATGCTTGCTGACTGACTGGAGGGTACTAATTTTTTTTTTAATTCAGATCTTCCATAAATATCTAGCTTCTGTTATTCTGGCTTCAATTATAGTACTATATCTCTACACAAAAGCAAATTGTGTGTGTACTTGCTAGAGCTTTAATTTAATTAACAGCTAACTAATGTTCTCTAATCTCATCACTAAACTCCCAAAGGAAAAAATAAATAATGCAATTCCAAAACTGTATTCACCATAAAAAATTAAAATTGGGCAATCATATATACATAGCACTATTAGTAAAGGTTACAAGAAATTATGGGGGGGTTTTTTTGCCTCTAAAAGCAAATCATCTAAGATAAACAGAACTAAACAGAAGTACCCAAGACATTCCAAAGTGAACAGCTTAGCCAGCCAATACAAAGAAACTGTGTTACCGGGCTACTGCAGGGTACCTGTGGGGAAGGAGGGGCAGAATTGGCGGAGTGTGTGTAAGGGAGAGCTGAGAAAGGCTCAGGAAAGCTAGTTCACTACTGCTAGTGTGGCATTTGCAGGAGACCTTCGGAATGACCCAAAGAACTAGGTGAGGCTTCTACAAAAGAAAAACCAACAGACTAATAAAGCTTCCTACACGGACGTCTGTCACAAGAGTCTAAGCTGCGCCTGGGGTGCAGGCCTGTAGTCTCATGGACTTGGGGGACTGAGACAGAAACAGTGAATTCAAGGGTATAGATGTCTCTGTTCCACTTGTGGTCCCAGGTTCCCTGTCCCCTGTGTCATTCTTCACCACCACCACCTAGTGATCTGTCTTTGTGGCACTTCTGCATTTGGCAGTGCCAAAGAGAAGCGTTTAACAGACAGTTTATGTCGGAGTCAGATAGTCTTCAAAAAAACTAAAACATTCTAATTGTTTCCTTTCCCTGAGTATAAACATTACCCGCCACCCCTCCACCCTGACTCAGTGAATCAAAAGAGCCCTTTAGTTTCTATTTCTATTATTTCCAGTATGGTCTAGTGGCCTCCTGGAAAACATTAGGGAGAAAATCTATGTGTCACTTACATCTGTGAGAAATTTCTTTAAAACAAACCAAGGGATGCTGGCAAGGGACTACCCCCATGATTCTTCAGCTTAAGGAAATATTTTCCCTACACTTGCTCACTAATTTCCATAAGATGGTGCATGATGGTGTTAGTTATTCCAGTGACTGAACACAGACTGGTTAGTATTAATGAGCCACAGATGACTACCAAGAAAGGCTGCTTGTCTATGATGCCCACTTGTAACCCAAGAAGTTTACACTCTGAATTCTCACAAAAAAATCCTGACACACTTCAAGAAAAAAAGAAGTTAAAACCAGTCAGTTAACCAATGTAAAATATAAACTTTAAAGAGCTAGGTCTGTAGCATGATGATACAAAGACCACAAAAAAGTAATTTTTGCTTTTTAAAGCTACTAACCTGAAGCTACTGATGAAGAAAGAGGGGAGAGAGGAGAAGGCATGATGGGAAATGGAGAGGGGAGGGCTGGATGGGAGGAAGCAGCAGAAAAGATAAGGCAGCTGATGCAAATGGTCTATTTGACAAAGTGGGGTTTGGGGGTGCGTACTGGCCGCCATTTAAAAGGTCTTGGGTGCTGGCCTTCCGCCTCACTGACAGACCCTCCCTGCTCAACACTAAGCTAGCTCCCTGGCCCTCAATAATGAAGTACCACTCAGTAGGAAGGCAGGGTGTGGGGAAAGTTGATTCCTCCTCAAGTCCACTGAATCTACTTCATGCCTTCCTTCCCCGCTGGTGGATTACTAGCAGCCTCGTGTTTCTTTACTTGAATACCATGCTCACGCTGTTCTCTGTCTTCACAATCATGGGGCGTTTCTCTACAGGTATGCGTGCTTCTGCATCTGTAGCTCCCTGTTAACTAGGATGCCAGCTATGGTGAATCAGGGCCTGTCTTCATTTCTTCTCCTGTTACTGTGACAAAATGCTCTGAACAAAACCAACGCAGGGGAGACAGGATTTGTTTTAGCTTATAGCTCCAGATTACATCCCATAGTAGTGGGAAAGTCATGGCTCTAGATGCTCAAGACAAACTCATTACATGGCGTCCAGGTGTGGACGCCAGGAGCGCTGAGCACATGCATGCTACGCTCAGCTCACTCTATCTGTTTTATACAGTCAAGGATCCAAATCCACTTTAAGGCTGTGCCTTCCCACATCAATTGACATCATCAAGACAGCCCCCTCAGACAAGTTCATAAGCCAGCCTAATCTAGACCACTCCTCAATGATGCTTTCTTTCAGTTGATCTAGAATGTGCCAAGCTGACAGTTACAACTAACCGTTAACACCACATATTACAGAGTCACAATACTTCACACCTTATTTTTGCAGTCTATATAATATAAATTAAACTTGCATCTCCATAAATTACCACATTAACAGCTACTACATAATTATTATATAGTAGTGTATCTAGTCTACCCATAACACACACTTGGAACATTTCAACCCCTCTGTCGGTTCCTATTTTGCATCCATTTCCTAAGTCCTAACTTGCCTTTTGACCCTTGCCTCTGTGGCACAGCAAGCAAAGCAGAGGATTCTGAGTAGGCATAGTCTAGAAAACTAGAATCTAGCACCAGCTCCTCCCTGCTGATAGGCACTGGTGAAAAGGACGGGGTGGGAATGATTTACAGCAAAGCTCACCAGGCAGGTGCCACTTAGCACACAACAATACCTTTTACTTCTTATCCAACGTCAGGTCTCAGGCTGTCCAAATGTCAGAAAGGAGCTCAGCCTGGACTATAGGAGGTTTCTGGTAGTTAGATAAAAGCAACCATTCCTCAGGAACTTGTAAAACCAGTTCCCATGTACCAAGAGGCTTCATTTCCCCTGACTCTAGCAGAAAGAACAAATCAAAGGATATAACCTACGGTTCTGTATCAAAGCCCATCCAGTGGGGGCTGGGGGTTCTCCTAGTATCACAGGTACCTGTTATACATTTTAGAGCTCCTACCCCAGTCTCCTTCCCACTAGTCCTGCTACTCACCCTCCTTAGAACACTATTAACTGTCTGTCTGTCTGTCTGTCTGACTGTCTGACTGACTGACTGACTGACTGACTGTCTCTGTGTATGTCTCTCTCTCCCATTGCTCTCACTATGCTCTATTCTCTATGTCCTCCTGTCTTACTATCTTACTAGCCACACTTTTTCTCCCACTTCCCTAGCCCTGGCCATGTCCAGTCTGCTGGCGATGCTCAGTCTACTTTTTCTCTCTGCTCTGGACTCTTCTAGAAACCTCTGGCCATTATCTCTATATATCTACAATAAAAATCTTCCTTAATAGTGGAGGAATCATGTTCACAGTTTCTTTACTGGCCCACCTCACACTGTGTGTATGTGAGCAGTCAATAACACACCAGAGGCAAACAAAAAGGGCAAAAAGCAATGCTGAATTGTAGCCTAATCCATGAAGTCCACCAGAAACACTAAAAGGAAAGGCTTCATACTCCTATCAACCCACCTGCTCCTCAGTGGAGACTCAACAGTCTCATCCTGGATCCTTCCAACACCATCTGCATCAAGCTACTGAGGAACATGACAGGTTCTGGGAAGAAATGGAATGCCCTGGTCTATTCAGCATGCTGAGTATGAAACACTCTTGGCTCAGAACTTTACCTGCAAAGCCTCTCCCAGCCCTTTTCTATTTTGGAGGCACAGTCTTACTAACAACCCAGTCTTGTTGAGTTCCTGGGCTTAAGAGATCCTTTTGCCTCATCTTCTGAAGAGGTGTGATAGGGGGGCACCCCATGCCTGGCCTGCAAAGATTTTTTTATGAGCATGATGAAGGAAAATTCTTGGATGTGTTATCAAGAGTTGACATCCAGGAGAATTTTAACTGTCCCCAAAGTAACACCTAGGCAGTCTTCTAAAGACATGGAAAATACAGTAGCTCCAGAAAGTAACATAGAGGTGGTGGTGGGTTGTTGTTGTTGTTGTTTATATTTTTTTGGTTTTGGTTCTTTTGGTTTTTTTGGTTTTTTAATTAAGAAAGAGACTTCCTGGCATTGTGTGGGTCTTGCAGTGAGGTTTAAGGGCCCTGGTGCTAAAACTGTTGACTTGGAACAGGCAGCTCAGATAAACTCCACAGATGGATTCCACTGAAAGAATCCACTTCCATAGAAAGTGTCTCCAAGAATTGCTGAATAAGTGTCTTCAATGCTGTTGAACAAGCCTAGCACCATGTGTGCATCTGAATGAAAGAACCATAGATGTGCAGGAAGACACACAAACTCACTGTCTGTCTGTCTATCTACCCATCTATTTATCTTTGGCTGATTAAGCAAGTGGTGTCTTTTCTGAGTGTGCACAAAAATTAATTATAAACCTTAAAAATTATTTGAGTAAAACTTCATCTTTTCTCAATTCTTATTTGTTATATTAATTTTTTTAAGGAAAAACAACCAAAACACCTGATATAATCATATTAAACAGACTAGTTTCTTTAAATATCTATCCCACCTCCTGGAGACATAGCACACATTCCTGAGCATGGAAGACTAGCATTAAAGTCAAACCAAACAAACCTAGTGATTCAGACGTGAACTAAACAACAGGAGGCTGAACTGACCTTCCGCAATGACCCAGCATCGAGTTCCAACTGGACAGAAGAGTGGGGTGAGGGGCAGGGGTACAAACACTGGAACTGAAGGGAAAGGAAAGAAATCCAAATATAGTAACATCTGTTCCTGAAAAGAATGCCTCAGCCTCTTACCTGTCCACTGCTTCCACATCAAAGCAGAACCTCTTCTCAATGGAGTCTGTCTTTCGTCGTGTGCAGGATTTGAGGGTGACAGACTCATCTTCTCCCTAGTGGGAACACACAGATGGTCAAGGTGAGGCCAGAAGGCAGGTCTGCTCCCCTCTAGGACTAGCATGGCACTTTGACAGGATTTCACTTCCACTTCTCAAATCTGTGTGTTCACAACCTATGGAGAGGGAATGCTGACCACCGAGCTTCTCAAGCAAGCATCTTCTACAGCGAAGCTCTGACGCCCTAGGATACAGTTAGCACAGGTAGAGAGAGCATGGTTGCTGCTACATAGTGCGCATCTGATACTACTATTTCAATCAGATTTGATTTGCAGAGGTGACAAGAGATAAAGACCACAATCTCCTCCTAACTGACGGTCTGTGGTCTTTGGTTAGTCATCATTTCTTCAGGAAACACAGGTCAAAGATCCCTAAGAAGTGCTCACATGACACCAAGTACCTCTCCATCCCCATGGTACCAATCATAGCAAAAACTGTCTGTTAAGGAAGACGAGGAATAAAACAAGGTCTTCCCTTCAAGTAAGATCGGAAGTTGACAAGACGGCACGCACCCTAAGGACAGAGGCTTGTGGTCTTTGCTTACTACTCTTGTATCTTTTGAGCCTACCTGGGTCCTGGATAGAAAAGGTCTTCAACATATAACACCTTAATATTGATGAATAAGAGGTGATAAACTGCATATGTTTGATGTGTACAATTTGTTACTGTGGCATCCGTCGATAGCTATCAAACTATCAATGAATCTGAGATAAACTTTTTCCACATCCCCACCCCTGCCTGCCAAACACACCCTTTGGTGATCCACCCACCTTCTAGATCACCTCCAAGAAACCACTAGTCTGCATTCTGCTGCTACGGGTTTGTTTTCGTGTTCTGTAACCTTATGTAAATGCAGACACAGGGTAAGTAAGTCTTTTATTAAGAATGAGTATTCGTGTGTGCTGTGCATATCAAGAGTTGGGTTTTTCTACTAGGTAGTGTGCCACTGTGTGAGTGGAGTGTGACAATCTCACAGAACCCACTGACTGCCTAGAAACACAGCAGGAGCTCTCTGTAACTTCTTCCTGTCACTAGGAATCCATTACTGTTTCTGTTTCTCCATTGTTTTTCTAAAAGGGGGAAATTAACAAATTTACCTGCCTTGCCAACTAAGATGAGGTGTAACTTCAGACGGTGGATGTAACCACCCACTAAAATCAGCAAAGCAGACAAACACAGCCCTAGGAAGAAAACATTTTTGTCCACATACCTTTTATCTATACCTACTTACTGGAGAGCAAAGATTAGTTTCTCAGATTGAGAATTTATCTTTACCCATTCTGTAAGATTCAAACATATGTTAAATAAAAACTTCACGATGTTGCTTAGTAATCTCAGCTACTTGGGAAGCCAAGACAGGCGTATCATCAGCTCAAGGCCAGTCTGGGATATATGAATTCAAGATCAGTCTGGACAACTTAGCAAAATCTACCTCAGAAGACAAGGGCTGAAGATTTATCTCTGCAATAAAATCTTTACCTGGTATATGAGAGAGCTTAGATTAGACACCCAGCATCACACAGGGGTCACTGTTTTAGACTAAGGTCCGACTTTGGACCTGAAAAAAAAATAGACTGAAATTCAACCTGGAGTCACCCAAGCAAATATTCTCCATCAGCAAACTAAGCTGCTTATCTCCCAGAAAACCAGAAATGAGAGAGAACAGTCCAACTGATCGAACAGGCTTACTGCAATCAGCAAGGAAAACTGAAATTCTCTCTGCCTCGATTATTCCACAGAAGCACACACGCACGTGTGCGCACACACATGGAGTAGCCTAAATTAGCCTGATATAACCAACTGGATACTTTCCACTCTTCACTCCCCTGTACCCTCTTTATAAAATAATAGTAAGTTTCATGCTATCATTGTTTGTAATTTTGTGGCCAGACTTGCAGCCCCCTACATGCTAGGCAAGAGTTCCTCACTGAGCTGTACTCCCAGACCACAGAAACCACTCTGAAATCACCAATTATTCTGTTCTGTTTCTGAATTCTTAAGCCTTCCTCTGCCTTAAAACTAATGCCTGCTGCTTGTCTTGCCACAACACTTGTTTAGTTCTTGAAATAGTAATGCCTAATTCTAGAAGTGAAAATAAAGTCAATTAAACCTCTTTCAACTACATGATTCCAGCTCTGTCCTTTGATGAGCTGATGAGTGTACTCACCCAAATGTAAGAAATTTGATGATGTTCAGATAGCTAGCTTCAATAATACAAGCTTAGGTTAAGGGCCATGAAAAAAAGAGTGGGTAACAAAGATCTATAAAGTACCATCAGACATTAGCACAAAGGACAGACAGAGAGAAGGAAGTGTAGCCAGAAGCCCATGGTAAGAGGTAAAAAGGGAGAAGGAGGCTGAGGAGAGCTAGTGATGCATGAATGTTGACTTCATCGTGTAAGGATCAGGAGAGTAATATAGGGTAGCCAGGGATAGGGACAAAGCCTGGCATGACTACTACAGGCTTTGGGGGTGGGGGTGCCTCTCTTAGAGGGTGGGATTCAGACACATCCTTAACCAAACACGAGGTCTGGTCTCAAGAGGATGGAGCAAATCTGCTCAGAAAATCAAGCCTAAGGCTGGAGTAGAAAGGAGAGTAAGCACTTTTAAAGGAATACAATCTAAATGAAAGGTGATGTGCCCAAACTGTGAGAACTTCACCTCCAGACCCCTAGACATTTGTGCTTCTAGTTCCTCCTGGAAAACTTAGGTCGCAGTGGCATCAAAAAGATTTGGCTTCAGAATCAGGAGGTTCTAACTCCATACTAGGAAGTAAGTGTACTCACTCTGGAACTCATGGGTATAAATTTAAAATTGACCTCTCTGATCCCCAGTCAGATCTCACAGAAGTCCTTAGATACCCAAACACTGAGCACTGTACAAAGCCCCACCCTTCGCTGACAATAGTAATAACACGAAAGGAACTGAGAAATGCAACTGAGTTCATTAACCACTTGGAAACATGCAAGATGTGAATCTTGAAGCCACATCTATGTAGGAGAATAATCCAGTCACTGGTTTCTGGAAGGAGTGACAGGTAGGAAAGGACCATGACCCATTGCAAACAAAGCAGGCTTGCTTCTATGAAAACTAAGAAACACCTAGTGACTTGTGTATAATTTGTAATACTCTCTTCTATCTCTGTCTGTTTACATGTGTGTTTTCCTGAAATAATCTGTAAGCCAACACTATCTCTGCCAATAATAATAATAATAATAATAATAATAATAATAATAATGGGGCTGTCTTACTACCTGTATACCAGGAATGAACAGAGATGCTGATAAAACTCTTTATTGTCACTGAAGTGAAAGAGATCCAGGAAGAGAAGCTGGGATTTGAAGACAGCACAAAGCACAGCAGCGCAGTGTGCAGCTCTAGCCCAAGCATGTCTAGTCTCCGAGCCTGAGCTCTCTCCACTTCCTTGCTTGAATGTCCTCCAAACACTAAATCAACCCAGTACACAAAAATGCCCATAGAAGGCCAGGCATAGGCTAGCAAAGTACTAACTTACCAAAATATCAGACACAATTGAAACAAAGAACTACTTAAACCAAAGATAGAACCAGAGAAATTACTCAAAATGTATTCCAGATATTCAAAAAGAGTAAATGCATACAGGCTAAGGAGAGAGGCAGAACCACTGGGGCTGGAGATCAGCCTGACTACACTTGAGTTCGAAGCCAGCCTAAGCTACAAAGTGAGACTATCTTACAAAAAGGGATGGGCAGAAGAGGAAAAACATAATATTCTTATATTATAACAGTTAAATATCTTCACAAGGAAATATTAGCAAAAATTAGGAAGAGGCAAAATTCAAAGATAGTAACTAAAGACATTTTTTCCAGTTCTGAATTAAACCATAAATCCAAGGTGGACAAAAAACTTCCAAGCTATCAGCTTAAAAAAAAAATCTATCCTAGGACATGACGAAATATAGAGTACAAAGGAGAGACTAGCCAGGGGAGACACAGGTCCTCTCTATATCAAGAAGCCAGCAGAGACAACTGTCTGAGGCAGAGGAGTTCTCTAAAGGGAAGAACCCTGGAGAATGCAGGGAGCTACCAACAGCAGTGCCAGGGAACCTGACCTAACCTGGCAGTCTCTTCTAAAACACAGTCAGAGTATCTCCCATCCCCAATGTCCAAGACCACAGAAAGAAGAGGGGCAGGCGGAGGAAGGAGAGAGAAGGCTGGAGGAGGAAGGAGCTATGTCTGGCCAGCCCTAAGCTCTCAGATCCACAGTTCCCATCCTCACTCCTATTAGACTGAACTGAGCTGAATCAAATGTTCCCCAAGTTCCCATCCACAAAGGCTATACAGAAATATTAACATATCTGGTATGATTTTAAAAGTGGCAAAGTTTAGGACTAATTTGTTACACAGAAATAACTGATTTATCTAAACTGTCCACAGGATCCAGCAGAAGAGGCATAAATCAGTCCCACAGAATGTCAATCAACCACGACTTTCTAGTAAGTCACTGATGTGTGACACACCTAATAATGTGTACATGTAAAATAAAAACTCTTAATTATAGTTACGTAAGTAAGCTAACAACGCTTATTCCAACCATTTTCAGGGAAATAGGCCCCCTGGAATTACTGAACAAAATAAAAGAGTTTTACAATGAAATGCTGGACTCTTAGCCATATACCATGATTGTTACCTGTTCGTTGAGCAAACCAATCGAGACATTTTCCCAGTGCACTCACCCCCTTTCCTCCTGACTTTTGGTCAAATGGAACCATGGTGATCTGTTTGGAATCCCGTTGGTATGTACAGTAGTGCTTCACCCAGGAAGTTCCGAAGTGACCTGCAAGGGAACGTTGCCTATGAACCGTCTGCACGCATCCATGGTATACCGCACATCATTAACTGACATATCACAGAGCTGGGCCGAGAGGCTCAGCCATAATGCTCTCATCCACCCTGACACTGTTCCGGGGGTGATGCTGCACAGCTAGACTGAAACAGAGAAATCTGATCCCAAGGCTGAAAGTGAAACCTAAACAATGCTTTCCCCACACAGACAGACAGGATCCCGACCTCCCAGTAACACTATATCCAATGAGTCTTCAAATACAGGGGAAGTATGGGTTCTCTGGGAAAATGGATTCACACTCCCACCATCAACCTCCATTTGAAATCTCCATTCTCTTCCCTGACTGAGGTGCCTGAGGAAAGAGCACAGAAGTGTTCTTCCAAGTGTCAATCACCATTTCTGTCTGGGCCAATGACGTCATACCTCCCACACAGCTGCCCAGTGCCTAACCTCTGGGGTTCTGACCTACTTCCAAACCCCTAATTTTTATTCCAGCAGGACTCAAAAAGATCTGAAAAGCAGACATGGAAACCTCAGAGACACTAGAGATCCAGACTGGAAGTGACTAAAAGGCTAAATGCAATGTCTCAAAACTCTCCTTCAGGAAAGAGGACGACATCACAGCACCAAGGCCACCAGTCTCTGACGATACCCAGTGCCTGGCCAATTCCTTTATTTTCAAGAACAAAGTGCTAATCGAGGAAGAAGGCATCATCGGCCTACAAGGACTTCAGTCGATACTGGTTTTAGATGTTCACAGAGACCACACAATAGAAATGATCAAAAGTAACAACGCCATGTAAATACAGTGAGCAGTCACTTAATAGTTACTAATGGTTTCACATGGCTGCCAGATATAAGTATTAGATATCACTTACTAACCTGGAAAAGCAACATTGGGGCTGAAGAGACAGAGGAGTTAATAAAGTGCTTGTCTTGCAAGCATGAAGATCTGAGTCAGATCCCAGAAACCCACATTAAAAATTAATCAATTAAAAATTCATTTTTTTAAAAGCCAGGTTTAGTTGAGGCACAGTTGGAAAGGTAGAGACAGACAGATCCCTGGGGCTTGTTAGCCAGTCTGCCAAACCTACTCAGTGAACTTCAGGCTAACTGCTCCAAAAAACTACAAGGTGGATGTCACCTAAGGAACACAACCTGAGGTTAATATCTGGCCACCACATGTACAGGCACACATAAATACCCATGAGAACGTGTGTGTGTGTGTGTGTGTGTGTGTGTGTGTGTGTGTATGCATACCCTGGCACCCACACACACATACACATACAGCAATACATAAGCGTTTACACTAAGTCATTAAAGTCAATTTTAAAAATGCCAAACATTCTCAGAGTTTGGGGGAAGTTCCAGTGACTACACACTGGGAAGATTCCAGAAGTGCTTTGTCTTAGACAGTATGGATGTCAAGGTAAGTACAGTTAATAGATTATAGCTTGTGAGTGAAATGTGAATTTTAATATTTTATTGGCAGTGGAAAGATAGGGATGGACAGATGGTCAGACAGATGTGCAGATGGATGGAAAAGGAGGATGGGGGAAAGAACTTTGAATATGTCTTATTCCTGGCACCTAGAGGTGCTACCCTGGGTAGCATCCCTCTAAGCCTTCCCACAGGCCTAAAGTATAAACTGTGAGTCCTTACTAAAAACTGCACTCAAGTAGCAGCCCCAGCACTTCTTCCCTTAACTGCATTACAAGAAGATGGCCTTCTTCCTCCCTTTCATTTTTGTTTTGACTTTGCATAAAATAGAAGTATTTGAGTGAGGGGAATTAAGAAGAAAAGAGCCCAATCCATGATTACTGTCGATTGAAACTAGAATCACCAAATACAAAGGCACTCGAGACCGTGTGTTATGTAAGACAGAGCTCCAATGCCTAGGTGGTCAGGGTGGGGTGCACAAGCACACTGAGCCACAGAGGTTCAAAAGGAGAGCGAAAGTAGGAAGAAACCCTAGCACAGAGGACACAGAGCAGATCACTTGGAGGTGGACAAGACTGTGGACACAGATCTGCAGGCACCTCCAGAAGCAAAGCCTGCCCAAGGCTGCGAGTGCAGCCTGTCCTGCCAGTCAGCACACTTACGCTTCTCCTGCACATACAGGTATCCTTCCATGGTGTACGGGCTGATGGTCTTGTGCTCAAGGGGGTTTTCCTTCATCTTCTTCATCAGCGATTCCACTTCAGATCTGGTTCCTTCAAAGCGGTTTCTTGTCTGTGATGAAAGGAATTTTACTCAAATGATCAAATGAAGAAAAACAGAAATCTCTTAATAATTCAGAAGATCAGCCTTAGACTGAAAAGCAAATAAGGGGCATTCAATGGTCCAGGAAGTGGGCTAATATTGACTTGCAAAAGTATACCTTTGCTTTCCAGTTCCATACCTGAATGACTCAAACTCCAGCAACTACCAAGATCACAGAGGAAATTTAGAAAGCATTCAAACACTCAGCCTATCTCCTGAAGAGCAGGTGGCAACTCTTGGACCAGGAGAGAGCATTTAAATAAGCATTCCAGAACAGTGAGACTCAGGTGGTCCACCCACTACACATCTTTAGGATTGTGGCCCTCACTGTCCCAATTGCGGGAAAGAGCTTGTTGATGGTTCACAGATAGCATCCTCAGGAAAGGATGGTCAGATCCTCAGTAAGACCAGTCTCAAACCCCTTGGCTTCTACCCAGGCCTATTCAGAACCCCAGAGGCACAGCCTAAAGCCTCCAGATGCAGCTGCATCATGGTCCGATGGCCCACCACACTCCATGCTCAACCTCTCAGAGGCAATAAGTTCCTTACTGCCTGTGAATCTCTATTTCAAAGCCTCAGACGACCCCTAGGACTGGAGTGTAGCTTGCCTAGCATGTATGGGGACTTGTGTTTCATCTCCAGAATAAAAGGGCTGGGATAATGCTTCATGAAACCATTTCTGACATACTTCAACTTCCTGTTCTCCAAATCAACAAAGAACCACGTAAGCTCCAGACTTCTAAAGGCCATGCAGTAGAAGTTATGCAGAAATAGCTGGATCTGATTTCTACACAGGAGTACCTTGAGACCTGTGGTCAATCACAAAGTTTAAGAAGAGAGCTTCCTCCATGACTTATGACTCAAACACCCTAAACATCTCTGTACCCAAAGGTCCCATGTTCAAGCCAGAAGGCAACTGCATTTGGGGGGCACTGGCTTAGGCACCCTGTTAGTCTTGCTAAGAACTAGACAAGAACATATCATTTGAGCTTGAGGCCAACTCCCTTTCCTATTCCTGGACACTCACGTAAGGCCTAGGGTGGCCAGGCAGCTGCTTGCACAGAAGGCAGCTAGGGAGGGCTGGGCTGAGCTGGGATTTCCACTGCCAAAGGAAATCCTGGCAGTGCTACGAAAAACACACATAACCAACAGCAACTCTTCCAGGAACAGAAATGGTGCTTAGACCTGGGCCAATCTTACATTCTAGAAACGTCAGATCCCCACTGTCCTCTGAGCCCAGGCAAGACCCCACCACACACACCTCATGCCAATGCAAGAGGGGAAGCTCTGCAGCAAACATACCCTCTCCTGCTTCCCTCTTCTGTCCCTGCCCCCACTCACATTTTGTATGCTGATGGTCAACTGTGTCTTAAAGTCACCAAAATCCTTGGCCAGCTCATAACCATGGTGATAGAAAGTGAAGAGTCCTTGCAGGAAGGCCAGTAGCTGTAGAGAGGGGAAAAAGGCAGAGGTCTTACAGGCCGGATGAGAAGGATCTGAGTTTCCAAGGCTGTCTGGGAAGTACAGAACAGGCGATATTGACATGATATTGATATGACAGCGTACACTGAGCAGCTCAGTGGGAAGGATGCTGTCCTCCCTCGTCATGTCACTGAATGTTCATGACCACCCTAAGTGCTTACAGGACCCACCTTAACAGTGAGAAGGCACGTCACGAGACTAAGTGACTTGCTCCCTAACTCACAGTGAGTGTCAGCCGGGATTGGAAACCCATTCTCCTTGGCACCAATGTTTACCACTACCCAAGAACATCACCACTTAGGAAATAAAGGCTGAGCTGTACCTTGGCTGCCTTCTAGAATATCAATAACATCAGGTTGTCACACACAGTCAGAGCATGATAAGGAAGTTAGTGTGCTCTGAGGCTGTAACCTAATGAGCAAGGTCAAACTACGGAAAATCACAGGACAGGCTTCAGCTAAGGGGCATTTCTGTGTGCTTTCTTTAACTTCCCCACAGAAAACAGTAAGAACTCCTTTATGAAGTTAGTCAGTGGCTGATGTTATACTGGGTGCCCTGACTCTCATTTAAACCCCCTAAGGCTAATGGGTGAGTGCTTTGTGGTCTAGTCTCCTCCATGCTGAGTGGTGACAACACCTGCTCACCACAGTTCTCACAGAACTTTCCATATTCTCAACAATTATCAGAAGTACAACAACCAGAACTGTGTACTTCTTCACAAAGATGACCTCCGACCCTCCCAGTCCTTCCCAAGTTCTCCCCAGACCGCCTGTTTTCACAAGTATGACATGAAGAAGGGGGCTATAGTGAATGGTAGAACATGGCTGGGAAGGACCTGAACTCTTTAAGTCGCAGCTGTTTTGGCTGCTGAAGGCACATCCGGGTGTGCTGAGTGGTCCACTCTGACCTCCAGACCCTGCCACATCCATTAGTCAGAAATGCATCTACTGTCCTCTGTGCTGTTCTACAAATATATCTGTAATTATTTTTACCAAATCCACTATTTGTAGAGGCAGTTCTTCAGAGGCCCAAGAAGGGATTCCATTCATCCTGTGCTCTGTGCACCGGAGGAGGAGTGTTCCCTTCAGGATGAACCACATGCTCAGTCCAGCCAATCAAAAGAACATTGTGGCAGTGTAACCACAACAGCAGGAGTGAGTACATTCTAGGAATCATCGTCGCTTGCACCCCTGCCTTTGGCTACGGGACTACTGGAACAAATTTCCCCAGGATCTCATGACAGGAGAAGGAAAGTGTGTCTCTGAAACCTGGGGCCGGACAGAGGACAAACTTGTTTCACACGGTCCTGACAATCCATCCAATTGCTTTGCAGGACAGACTGGAGCTGAGACAGTTAGTTATGGGCAGGATTGCACCTTGACCAGAAATACTTAGTAATGCATATCTCTTACCTCCTATTTAAACCTAAGCCTCAGGACCTCAAAGATAGACTTGGGGAGGCAGATTCACTAGAACTCTTTATTTGTTCCTTTTCCCAACATGGCCACACTGAATAAATCAATGTCTCTCTCTCTCTCTCTCTCTCTCTCTCTCTCTCTCTCTCTCTCTCTTTTTTCTGTTTTTCACAATGACCCCTGCCTTAACTGACATACTAAGGATGGATAAGCAAACCTACATGTTATGGATAATAAGACCTAGGCTCTGTCCCTAACAACTCGAGAAAGTTATATTAAAACGGTAGTGTGGCTTCCCACTGTTTTTCCCCTTTGTATTCTCATGGTGGGGGGGGTGTCAAGGAGGAGGCACTGTTGGGTTCACTGTCTTTAAAACATCTAGTGGCAACTTAGTTACTCAGTAACTAAGCACTAATGCCCTAGAGTACCAAAGGCCAGTACTGAACTCTTTTCTTCAAAGATGGCGAGAGCTTTAGGACTTCCTCTCCATGAAGAAGGTATGTATCCCTTTGCTTCCAGACAACTCCAGAAATAAAGGACATGGGCTCCGCTGATGTCTAGGCATCCACAGTGAAGGCTGTTCCTCCTCTCCTTCCTCCCTGCAGGTACAACTCAAATGCTGGGCCACACACTGCTCACAAGCCCGGAGAACTTGCTTTCTGTTTACATTTTTTCAGTTTTATTGTTTTATGTGTATAGGTGTTTTGCCTGCATGAATGTCTGTTCATCATGTACACACAGCTCATAGAGAAACCAGAAGAGGTCATCAGATCTCCTGAAACTGGAATTACAGATGGCTGCAAGCCACTGTGTGGGTGCTGGAAGTGGAGCCTGGGTCCCCTGGGAGAGCAGCCAATGCTCCCCGGGCAGAGCCATCTCTCCAGCACTTATGCTCCTTAAGACTGATGCCCAAGCTAAACAACTGAGCCTGGAGTCCCTGCTGTGAGCTCAGTCTTCCCTTCACTGAAAGTAAACAGGACCTGACTTACTCAGTGTCTACACTTTCTCAAACAGCTAAACCAAGGCACTACCACATCCTGTTGAGGCAGAAGAGGGATGGACTGTTAAGGTTTATGTTGGCTTTCACTTCTGTTAGTCTTATTTTTATAGGAAATATTAAATAACATATAAAAATATAAAATAATAAATAAGATATAAAAGCAATCTTCCTCATGTGCTGTAGTGTGGGCCCTTTCTTCTGCCTCACAGCATGTCCTGCCGCCATCTCCCTAGACTCATTTCCATAGGAGGCACAAGGACCAGATACGTCACCAAGAAATGCTTCCACCCTAACACAGGGAGGCATTCCTAAATCGTGGAATGTCAAGGGTTGTGGGCAAATCACTAGAGTTAGGAGAGAAAAAGAATGATACATTCATTCCCCATAGGCTTCCAGGGAAGTGTGGCCCTGCTAACACCTCGCTCAGGATTCCTCCATCCAGAACTTCTACATAAAGGCAGCCTACTGGGAGGACTATGTTAGAGCAGCCAAACTGGCATAGCTACCAAGGATTCTTATCCTTGCAATAGAGGACAGTGAGCTGCTGAGTGAGGAAAAGCTGGTTTGGGTAAGACTCCCATCTTCAGCAGGAAGGCAATAATGGCATGTATTAGTTCACAGAGATGTCAGAAGTCAACCCCAATCAGAGATGGAATGGACTTGCTTACCACACAGTGCACAGGAGCTGTTCCATAGAGAGACAGTCAGAGTGTGTCAGAGGACACACTGCTATGAGCAGGGACAGGCTGTGTGGGGAAGCCCCATACAGGAAGCAAGCGACAAGGGAAGAATGAAACCATCCAATGGGATAAAAGAATGGGAAAGGACAAAAAGACACAGTGGTGTAAGTACTTGTGATAAAACTCTGAGATTGTAGTGCCTAAAAATGGGGGAGGGGGCTTGTAGTGGAAAGATCAGTGGGACAGCTTCTCAAGAGCTCTGACCAACCTTCAGGTATGAAAACTCAAGGCACAGGCAGAGCATGGCTTTGGCTTCATGACACCAAGGTGTTGGTGTCTGCAATGTACACCTCTAGAACATGAGATGTCTCAACAAGAAGATACAGGCTTCATTCAGACACACATACCAGATGGGTGGATAGAAGGAAGGACAAACAGGAGAGTGGGAAGGAGAAAGGGAGGGACAGACAGATGGTTTAGATCTCAAAAGTCCAACTTTCCTTCCTTGGAACACACTATATAACTGAGGATGGCTGTGAACTTCTGATCCTCTTGCCTCTAACTCCCAAGTGCTAGAACCGCAGGTGTGTGCCTCCACATCTGGAGTCTGCAGTGTTAGGGATCGAGTCCAGGACCTCGTGTATTCTAGGCAATCACTGTATGAACTGAGCTACATCACCACCACATCCTATGTTTATCTTTCTAAAGGCCAATCATATGCACATACCAGTACTTTGAATTATTTTCTAAGAAACAAGGCAACATGGTCAATATGTCTATAGGTTAACCTAGGTGCTCAATGACTGACACCTGTGTGCCCAGCAGTCACAGTCAGTGGATTCTTGTAACATCTTCCCTGCCAGTAATCAGTCATATGCTACTTCACAGTGAGGAACCAAGCCATTCCAGCTCTCAAAGTGGCTTTCAAGGTGTTAGAAATGCAGACTGTCCTCTTCTATCCCAGTTGTAATATTTAAAAGTTGGGACTGTAATCTGCATTTTAGTGAGGCCCCAGGGCAGGGTATTGTACGATGCTGTTGAAACTACATTGTACAAAAGGACAGCATGAAATAAATCCATGTTTTTACTTTTCTACCTTCATTATATGATTTCATTCTTAATTCATCCGTGAGGGTATATATTGGTTTTATCACTCTTTTCAAAGCAAGAAATATAGAAACACTTAGATGTAACCCTGTATAAGGTCTCACCTAGTAAGTAGCAGAGTTGGAATTACCTCTGCAAAAATTTTTTAACAAAAATATAATGATGATGATGAAGAGGAAGAAGAAGCACAAGAGGTAGAAGAAAAGTTGAGCCGAATGAGCCAGGCCGAGCCTATGCAGCCAAGCCGACAAACGTGTGAGAAGTAGACACCTATTGTATGTGAGGGGTCTGTGCTTGCCATTCAACCCAAACCAACAGGCATGATATCTTATTGGCTCAATATACCTACTGAAAAGATCAAACTCAAAAGTCAGATGGGCTGGCTGGAATAATATGCACCAAAAATAAGCATATTTTCCTTAAGAATACTATTTCTTACTTTTAGAAAGTTCTTTTTTGGCCGGGCGGTGGTGGTGCACGCCTTTAATCCCAGTACTTGGGAGGCAGAGGCAGGTGGATTTTTTAGTTCGAGGCCAGCCTGGTCTACAGAGTGAGTTCCAGGACAGCCCGGGTTATACAGAGAAACTCTGACTCCAAAAAACCAAAACACAAACAAAAAAAAAAAGGTTCTTTTTTATGGCTAATTTTTTTTAAACTCTTCATCCATGAATGCATTTTGACCACACACACCCTACTGAGTCAGTCAGAGTTGTCCACTGCAGCATGGGCAATCTACTAGAGGCCTGACAAAGGCTGGTGTTCTCTCGCCTGGTAACTGATGACTCCCTGTAGCGTCCCACCTAGGAGTGTGCCCTGTGAGGTCCCATGCAGGGATACTGAGGAGCTTGACCTTCTGTAGGTTTTCAGTAGGCAACCTGGAAAAGCCAGACCTTTACTGTATATAGATACCCTAAGGTCGAGTCTAAATCAGAGGCTATATTATGGCCAACAAAAACAAAGATCTGATGATTTTTAAGTAGAGGCTCTTGCTGGTCTGGAGTCTTCATGAAGTTTTCCTTCTGTGGATCCTATGCTCAGGGGTCACTGTAGGCAAACTGGCACCACAGCTGAATGAAACCATGACAATGATGGGACAACCTAAAGGTCAGACCTTTCACTGGGCTCTTTCATGTCCAGTGGGACACTGGCCAAGTCTGAATTCCATCATGATCCCTGAATCTCTGCTGTTCTATTTGTTTATGACAAATCTGCTGAGAGAAATCTCCTTCTGTCCAACTTGACTGGGTTAGAAGAGGCTCTGAAGGCAGGGGCAGGATGAGATGACTACAGTTACCCTACATCTGGATTATTGATGGATGAGTGGGACAGACCAGAATGGTTAGATAGCATATTTATTTCCCAGCAGTATGGGGGTCATTCTCCCAGACTCCCATCTGCACTTGCCCACTGCAGATCAAACCGTGTAAGAGCAGGTAGCCAGAGGCAGGGCAGACGCCGGCTGTACCATCTCCATCACTCATGCTCCCATGCTGGGAAGAGTCCAGGGAGCCAAAGAGACAGGGCTCTGGCCTTGAAGAGAAGGACCAACCCTGGCTGGGCTGCTCGACCTCCTCCGGTGGGGTGGGCAGCATCATTATCGACTGGCTAGTGATGAACAGAAGCAGCTACTCACAGGTTCTACAAACTCAAACATCTTTCTCTCTTGCACTTCCTGCACCTTAAAGACATACTCCAGGGAAACTTCATAGAAATGTTGCCGAACCAGGTCCACTTGGCTGTCTGCCTGCAAACAAGACAGAATTTAACAGAAAACCAAGTCATTACATAGGGAATACACTAAGCAATGAGGAAAATATACAGGGGTGAATTTTTAAAAGAAATCAAACAGCATGATACTGAAGACAAATGGTAAGCTACTGAACACTACACCATACACTGTGTCTATGCACACGCACACACATGCACGCACATGCACACACACGCACCCCAGCTTGACCTATCAAGCAATTATTTTTTGTTTCTTGAAAAAAAGCATTCTAAAGAACTGTAATTTCACCATAGAAGACTCCTTGATTTAATTCCAACAAAGCACCCATGTCCTAAACAAACATCCACAGAAGTATCAAGTAAATATTCGTTGAAGAACAAATACCATTTTGAGTGCAAACTTCTTAGCCATTGACAAACACACTGGCTTTTTAAATATCATTACTGTCCACTAGGTGGCAGCATCATTCCATGCTGCTACCTATTTACAGCCTCCCTCACCAACTTAGGGACTCTGCGAAAATGGAGGCTGCTCCATGAATGCCAACCTGAATTTTCTTTCCAAATTAACTCCTTTTTTTTTTTTTTTCCCCTGCTTCAAGAAGCTTTATTTTTACTTGATCCAAGGCTTGGGAAAGGCTCCAGGGCGGTTACAAAGTTGCCTAGTGGCTTGAGAGGTTCATTCAGGTGGAGGTCCTGAGGCGGGCTGGTGCAGAGCAGAGGAGGGAGCCCCTCGAAGGCGCAGAGGCCTCCTAGTCTTGCTTGAGAGTGAGGGGCTCAAAGACATACTCTCCCAGAGATGCCTGAGGCCCACCAGTCTCTGCTGGTTGTGGCCCTGCCAACCTACGGAGGTTGGTCAGGTGGTTGCCCATCTTCTTGATGAGCTTCAGGAAGTGACTTTCCAAGAAGTTACAGAGATGAGGCTCTTTATGGGGAGAACCCAGGGCATGCAGACCCAAGAGGGCCTGGTTCAGGTTCTTCTCCAGGGCCAAGGCAGCTTCCACGGCCTCCTGGGGTTTACCCCATTCATCCTGAGATGGCTTCTGCACATGCTCGAAAAGTGCATGGCGTGTGATCATTCTGCAACTTGAGGAGACACTTGGCACCCTTGTGTTTCTCCTCAGCCAATTTGCGGAAGAAGTGGCCTAAGCCCTCTAAAGCCAAACCGTCCTGATAGAAAAAGAAGCCCAGAGGGAGGTAGGTGTAGGAGGCCCGCAGGTGCAAGTTGAGCAGGCAGTTCATGGCAGCTTCCACTTCAGTGGAATAATTCTGACGAATCTGAGAGGTCATGGCTCATCAGGAGTATGGGGCTAACCGCTAAGACGGTGCTGGCTGGTCCTAGGTCCCAGAGGCTGTGACTGGAGAGACTTGTAAGGTGGCTGGAAGCTAATAAAGTGGGAGTCCCCAGGTCTGTTTCATCCAAACACTGTTGAAGCAAGACACAGGACCACAGGACCTCCAAGGCGCTGTTCCTAACTACCCTTTAAAAGGATTTTCAATGATATTCTTTTCAATTCAAATCCAAGGAGACCAGGAGCAAGCCAGAGAATGTTGGTGGGTTTTTTTTTTCTTTTTTTATGGTGTTGCTGGAGACCAACCAACCTATGGTCTTAATGTTCTGTAAGCTTACACTCCTAACCCTTTGTTTTTGAGACAGGGTCCCTCCCTATGTAGCCCAGGCTGGCCTTGAACTCATAATCCTCCTTCCTTGGCCTAGCAAGTGCTGGTATTACAGGTTTCTGCCACCATGCACCATCAGAGAATGTTTTTTTAAAAAAAGATTAACACTGCTTAAAATACATGTATGAGAGTAAAATGCTGTTAAAACTAAAAGAAGAAAAAGATAAGTTATCAAATACTGTATTGAAACAATAAAATAATGTTATTAAGGAAACATAACCAGAGTATTTCAGATGCCAGTCTTGTAAGTCACGATACCAGGTAGGAGGTCAAGATTGCCCTAGGTGGACAACAGTGTATCCTTGAGTCCAAGGGTAAGAAAAGAGCAAGGTAGATCCCAGCCTGAAAGGAAGAGTCGCACTCAGAAACAGGCACATCCACTCGGGCGGTAGGGAGCAGCACTGAGCTCCTCTGCCACTAGCAGGTTAGAGAACACAGAAGAGGGCGGGGCCATGAGGGCGTGGCCCTAGAGGAGGCTTCACCGCGAATGTCAGATCTCCTCCAATCCAGGTACTGGCTCACAAATGGCAATCCGCATACACCCCCAGGCATACCCTAATACCAGGCAGGAGCTCTGTGATCTCTTACCTCCTGTAGCTGGGACTCCTTCTTTTTGGAAGACAAATTCAAATGCTTTTCTAAGATGCCACAATACTTCTCTGTCTCTTTGTCATACTTCTTTTTGGCTTCCTGGGGACAGGGGAAGGGAAGGAGAACGCATAAGAGGTTACTGGAGTGAGATGGCTGGATCCCTCAGGACCTCTCAGGACCTCTGTATGCTCCGTCTACCCACAGTGATGAGTGCTCCTCAGATGGACATCAAGGCGGGGACTCCCAGACCAAAAGCAGAAGCATCGCTGCTGCCCACCGCTGGGCCTGTGATGACAACAGTGGGGGCGGGACACCCAAAGAGCATAACTCAGCGGGCATAGGACAGACTGGAGAGCAGAGAAGGCGTGGGACAAACCTGCCATGGCATGTGTAAATAGGAGTCAAGGAAATGGGACATGGAAATTCTTTGCTTTTGCTAAGTTTTGATTAGCTTAAATTATTGTCTGAAAATGAAAAACAATTTAACAATACACATATCAACCTGTGTTCCCCCACCAAGTTCTTGAGTCACCACGGTTCTATTTTTACTCCCTATTTTATAGGTAAGGAAACTCAGAAGGAAGCCAATTTGCAAAATGTACCAAAGAATGACAGAGCTGAAGTCAAGCTAGCACTGTCTGCCCACACTCTGCCCACTTGAGACACGGTCATAGGCTGTCTCCTTGCTCTCTGCACTTCGGTGGGCAGGGCAAGCCAGAGGCTACGATGACACTCCGGTCCAACACGGATGCTCAGCTATTCTAACTCAGTGTCAGTCCTGCTTTCGACTCATCTGGGGCCCAAGGGAGATGCTTTGTGCAGCTCTAAAGCCTATAAGGAAAAGGTGTTTGCAGCCAGATAAAGAAGCCATCTCTCTATCCATCTAACAAATTCATGCTGAGCAGTCACTCTGTCATAGGCTCTGCTTTGGACTCCTCCTCCCCCATGATAGGAGCATTCTAATGGGAAGAGAAACATAACTACCAGGGAACAAGTAAGCAATATAATGACAGATACTGTGAGGGCTACAAAAAACAAACAAACAAAGGGTACTTGGGAAAGGCCTCAGTGGGGAGATATATAAACTGAGACCTACTGAATACCTGAGGAGGCAGGGGTTGGCTCCCAGAAAAGAGAGCCAGCAGTGCTAATGCCCTAGGAAAGAGCACTCTGAGCCAGGTTCTCCCAAGCACCCTGCTTTATCTGCTCAACAGCAAGATCCTAAGGATCACAGAGAGCAGAACATGATCATATGCCCACTTAGCAGGCATGAATCCATCCCTACAGATCTGAGGTTGGCTTAAAAGCCTACTCGTACTCAAACCATAAAGCAAGCAAATGTAAATGAAGAAAAGACTTGTAGAAACACTTCCCCTCCAAGGCTGAGAAAGGTCCAGGCAAGCAACTCTTATCCATTAACCCACAAGCTTGAGGCTGGATCCCAACTCCACTCAATGCTTGTATCACACATAGCCACTCTCAACAGCTCAGTGGCCAGAAACATCACAGAGCATCCTGGGGCCAGGCAGTGCCACTGGCCAGATCTTAGAAAAGGCCAGGAGTCATGAGACACTAGCATTTTGTAACTTTCAAGGGACTAGAACCTCCGCAGTTCATGGTCAATGGATAGCCATAATTAGGGAAGGAAAGAAAAGCAGTCGCCCCTCCATACTGAACACCAAGGCCTTTGCAGGGAAAGCCCTAAAACATAGTATACCAGCACCCCAGCTCACTACCATCACACACTTGACAAGAGCAACCGCAGGAAGAAAGGATTTATTTTGGCTCACTTCCGTTGCAGCAAGTATGTAAGTCGTGGTGCTGGGGGTCTGAGGCAGTTGGTCACACTGCATCCAGAGTCAGTGGTGCAGAGGGAGACGAGTGCTGGTGCTGGCTAGCTTTCTCTTTTTTTCCTAAAGAAATATTATTTTTATTATGTGCATCTCTGTGTGCCCGTGTAGGGGTATGTGCATATAAGTGCAGAAGGTAGACGTTGAATGCCCTAAAATTGAAGTTGCAGGTTGTTATGAGCTGCCTGATGTAGATTCTGGGAACGGAACTTAGGCCCTCTGGATGAATGGTATGTGACCCTGTTAACCGCTAAGCTAGAGCTCCAGTCCTTTTACTTTTCAATATTTATTTGATTTTTTACTTGGTATGTGTGCCTATGTGTGTGTGTATATGTGAACATGCACCTGAGTTCCAGCTGCCCAAAGAGGCCAGAATAAGGAGTAGGATCTATAACTTTAATTTTTTAAAACCTATTTTTAATGATGGTTCTTAAATGCTTTAACCTCCCTTGTAGCCCACCATCTGCCAGAGGTAATGGAAAAGAAAGGACAGGGGTGGGGACGGGGGCTCTGTTTAGAAAGGTTCTTTGGAGCAACTCAGTTCACAGATAACCAGCAGCAGCTCAATCCACTTGCAAACACTTCACAGATACTCCAGGAGTCTTGTCCAGCAGACTCAGGATAACACACACAAATCAGCATCGGTGGCACTACCTAGGTAGGTAAGACAGCTAGGCCACAGCCTTGGCTCGAGTCAGCAGGACGGACCAGGAAGAACACCAGGAGAAGCTCTCATCTGTGCCTCTCTCAGGGAAGCGAAGCTCAGCAAAGAGGTGAGACCCACAAGCTTTGCACAGCTAGCCGTACAAGCAAGCCAAGCTTAGCCTCTGTCACTGTCTGGTGCATCCTTTTTATACTCCCAACAAATATCACATGTTCTCCACAGGTCTTGCCCCAACATGGGTCTTGCCTCAATATGCATGTCTGTCTCAGGTGACATCACTCTGCCAATCAGCCAGTGTCCAAGGGAGTGGCAAGAAACTGCAGCACACAGCCAGAAATTTTTTGGTGCATTTCTGTCTATGGAGTCCCCACAAATGCAGTTCAACTATGCAATGTACGATGGACCAATACATGTGTGTTGTTAGCAAAGAATCCTTCATCATGTGTCCTTTCACATGCTTGCATTAGCAGACTATCCTATTCCTGTGTCTGCTTCAGTGAAACATTCCTTCACGAGTCTGCCTTAGTCTTTCACCTGTGTCCACTTCAGCTAAACGTTCCTTCATGTGTTTGCCTCAGCAAAACACCATCCAACTGACTTTTCAAAGAACCCTCAAGTTTCCACTTCAAGGATTCCCTGCAAGCTGGAGTTACAGATGGTAAGCTGCCCAATGTGGGTGCCGGTAACCAAACCTTGGTACTGTGAGAGAGCAGGACATCCTAAACCATTTACCCAGACACTAGCTTTCTCATTTTTCTGTAGCCCAGGATTCTAGCCCAGGAGATGCTGCTGCCACATTTAGGACTGGCACTTCCACTTCAACTACATAATCAAGGTAATCCTCTCAGGCATGTCCAGAGAACTACCTCTTTGGGGGTTTCAGACCCTGTCAGGTTAGCAGTCAATATTAACAATCACATTAAGTACGAGTCTCAAGGTGCTACAGTGCGTTATTTAGGCACCTAGGACTCAAGGCAGTCTCTACCCTTCCAGAGAGACACCACTGAGAGGCAGAGAAACAACAGGGTTGGGATCCTGGAATATAATTCCTACTCTAGAGTGGTAAATTCTAAGCAACTCCCATCACTTTCTAGGGCTCAACTTTCTCTCTACAAACACAGGGTGACTAGACAAGACCATCACTCAAGTTTCATCTTCCAGATCACAACTCTGCAATAAAATAAGAACATTCGCTCTTCATGGACTTACTTGGATTAAGTGAACTAAACTACACACATCCACAGCCTGGTGATGATGGTGAGGATGTGATAAATGAGATGCCAACAGCAATGGTGGTGTGGAAACGGAGGTCACAGAGGTCACTGACAGTAATGATGGTGATGCTAATGGTGTGGGTGGTGGTCACAATTGTAATTGTAATTGTCACAGTAATTGTGGTGCTGAGGTAGTAACGATTGGTGGAGGTGATAATGATTGTACTGGCAAATTTTATGTTAACTTGACACACACTAGAGCCATTTGTGAGAAAGGACCTCTACTGAGAAAATGCCACCACCATATTGGCCTACAGAACAGTTCCTTGATTGATGTGGATGGTGGTGCCAATCCTGAGCTGGTGGTCCTAGGTGCTACAAGAACGCAAGCTGAGCAAGCCCTGAGGAACAAGGCAGTAAGCAGTGTTCTTCGGTGGCTTTTACTTCAGTTCTTGCCTCCAGATTCCTGCCTTGAGTTCCTTCCCTGACATCCTTTGGTGATACTCTTCCTTCTTCAAGTTGTTTTTAGTCATGATGCTTTATCCCAGTCCCTGAAACACTGAGACAACGGCAATGGTGATAACTGTATTGATAGAGGTGTACTTCTTTCTTTCTAAGTATACACTTAAATTGATACAAATCTGTTGTAAGTCAGCAGAAATTCTTCCATTGTCTTTCCTTCAGACTACATCCAAATATCCCTTGAAAGCCTTGACCAAATATCATCCCTTTCAGCAATCATGGCTACTTCTAGAAAGCAGCTGAAAGGCAGAAGAGGATACAGGGAGAGGAAGAAGCACACTCTTAATGAGTTCTCCAGGTCAGTTTTCAAAGTAAAACATACAGTGTGTGGTGAGGCCTCCACCTCACTGCAGATAGTGCAAAGGGCTGTGTTTGAATTCATTCACAACTCTAGAATACAGGAAAATGTGAGACAGTTGTTTGCTGCCATTAATTACAATAAAAACATCTCCCCTGCAGGCAGCTTCATAACCCTCAGCTGAAAGTCAGCCAGCTAGTTTAGCTAGTAACTTAACTCAAGGAGAGGAAACAGGCTTCCCTTTGCTCTCTTCTAGTAACACAGTACAAGAACTGGTTTTCTCCACGGTCTCACTGGGAAACCAACCATACCTAGCAAGGCCCCATACCGAGCAATAGATGGCCAACACAAAAGTAGCTCAATACTACTTTTGGAGGATTTTTTTGGTTGGTTGGTTTTGTCTTGTTTTGTTTTTTGTCTCACGATGCTTTGTCTGGAATATTTTTTTCAACATTAGAGGTTGTTTATATAATTTGGTTTCTGCTTTTGAGTTTTTATGGGATTTCTGAGTGTGTAAGTATGTGTGTGTGTGTGCCTGTTTTTCAGGTGCATTTCTTTTGCATTTTCTTCAGCTCTTTTTTTTCTGTTTGTTTTGTCCTATTCTAGTTTGTTTGTTTTGGGGTTTAGGGAGTTGTTTTGTCTTTTAATTGCCTATTTGTTTTTGAGAGAGAGAGAGAGAGAGGAGTATAGATTTAGGTGGGTAGGGATGTGGGAAGAATCTGGGAAGAGTTTTGGAAAGGAAAACCATGATCAGAATATAATGATAAAAAAGTATTTTCAATAAAAAATAAAATTATAAAGAAAAAAAACATTCAGCTGTTTGGTATCTGTGTTTCTAGGTCTGTAGTAACAGATGAAGACCTCTGAGCTAAAGCAGGCCTGAACTCATGAGCCCCACCAAGACTAAGGATATGTATTCTCTTAAAATATTTGCCCACTGGAAAACTCCCAAAGGCTCTGGTTTTTGTTTTTTTGGTTTTTTGTTTTGTTTTGGTTTTGGTTTTTGGTTTCTCTTGAAGAATTGAAGAAGAGAGTAAAGGTATGCTCATTTCTATACATAACAAGAAACAAGCTGAGGGCCAGGCAAGATAGCTCAACTGTTCAAAGGCAATGGCCTTGAAAACCTGAATTTGTTTTCCAGCTCCTATATGGTGACAGTTGTTCTCAGATTTCCACATGAGCACTTTGGCAAAGGTCTGCACACACTGGCGTGTATGTGCATGCACACATACACAAACACACATACAAATAAATGTGCTTTGCTGAATGAGGCTTATGAGGAGTCCCTATGTTCCCAAAGCCTAGTTCATAACTCTGCTTAAATGCAATTTTGGACCTCCTCCACACTCACAATTACACAAACGTGAGTAGGCTGACCAGTCAGTCAACAGTCCAGGCATACAGCCACCTAGCATGGAGGTGACACCTCTACCTTGAATGGTTTGTGAACTAGCACCAATCAGGTAACAAACACTAGGATGGTGGTTGATGGTGGCCACAGACAGCTACACTTTGGCCACTTATAAAGTGCAGAGGAGCTGGGCTCTCTTGTCTTTGGAGGGTTGCTGCCCTTAGATTTCCTAAGGGGAGCACTGCAGTTTTCAGAGAAGAATAAAGTTTGTTAAATCCTCACCCTGGCAGCCCCGATCTGCTCCTTTCGAAACTTCTCCAAGGGTGTGATGAGCACGTCGCTGGCATTCTCAATCTGATGAAGAAAAGCAGAAGGCGAGGGGTAAAGGCAAGATTAGTAATGACTTATAGCAGCTCTTCCACAAATGCTCCCAGGGCCTCCCCATGTTTCTCTGTATAATAGAGAATCCATGCGGAAGCCCCAAATGTGACCATCTTCCTGTGAAGAGTTTGCTGTTGTTGAAGATAGTCTCACTGTGGAGCCCAGCATAGCCTGAAACTTACAATCCTCTCAACCCCAGCCTTTCAAGGTTTAAAAGAAGTGAATCCAGATGGTAGGCAAATGTTCACTGGTTGTAGGGACCTGGTAACAGAAGCAGTCTAAGTTTCTAGTTTCAAGAGATGTAAGTTCACCATTCACCCAAGCTTCAGGCAAAGTACATCCATAGTGAGTCTCCATTGAAAACAAAACACCTTTGAATATCTTCTATGGAGAGGACCCTTCAAGCATCATGAGTTTCCAAGGGAATTAACTGGGGCCTGAGACCTCTGCCTCTTAACAGCTGGCTGCATCCCACTGCATCTTACAGTGCTCAGCCATCAGTTTCCACACTCAGATTCACTGTCATACCAATGGACCTCAAATGCACGAAATCAGGCTACCTCGGGATCTTTGCCTCTGGCTTTCCCCACTGATGTTCTAGTACAGATTGTAATCAAGGTTCCAGCTAAAGGTCGCTTCTCTGTAGAGGCCTTCCCTGACTTCCAAAACCGTAATTAAGAGAAGCTCTCTCTAAACCCAACCCTTTAGAACAAATACACCAGGTAGTTTTCTAGCTCAGGACTACCTACAGATACATATACCACCCTGTAAATACTCGTTCATCCCCCAGTTTTCCCAAAGCACTGAAGAAATCAGAAACAAAGGAGCACTCAAACACTTTCTGAATGACCAAGAGAGTGAATGAATGACTTCCTGACAAGCTGCCAAGTGTGTGACCATGAACAAAACAGTTAAGTTCTCTGGGCTCTAACTTCCTAATCCAAAGGATGAGGGGGCTAAATTGTTCCGGCTCTAAGACTCAATGCTCTCCTCCAAAGCGCGCAATATTCTACGCTCTTTACTCATTGCTCACGTGTCTCTCGGCTAATTATTTCAGGAATCTCACTTCAACAAAGCATTATTTTCTCTAAATCATATGCATGCCCTTCACAACAGCAACACAGAAAATGCCAGAGGCTCTTGGCGGACACAGTAGAGGCAGACCAGACAATGGGAAGGAAAGAAAAGGGCATGTCTCTGTATTTATCCCCTGCTGCCTGTTTCTTAATTTTGAAAGCACTCACTCCGGCAGAGTACATGTTAACAACGCAGTTAGGCAACAGAATTAAACTTCTCTGTTTCCTGTTGCTAACTGACACTGTTTAATAAGTTTATGTAAGTCCCACAAGCCATTTGCAAGTTTCTGAAGCTCACAAAGGTGTACTGAGCCCATGGATAAGTGGTTTCCAACTTCAGTTGCACGTGAGAATCCCTAAGGCATCATTTACACATCTCAGTAGCCTGGCCAACTTTAGACCAACACCACAATCTCTGGTCCTGGTACCAGACATCAGTGTTAGTGAAGTACCTCCCCACCCCAAGTTATTTCAGCAGACACCCATGCCGAGGCTCTAGTCTAAGGAGACTAGGAATATGCCACCACTTAGTTGTTCATAAGAAGCAAGACAAGTCCTCATACAGTCCGGGACTATAAGCACTATCTTGTCTAGTCTCAACAAGACCTGTGTTCTCATCTATCAAATGAGAGACTGCAGACAGTAAGTAAGGAGTAACAGGACTGATGGTAGAGCACAGAGAGAGCCATTCTCTGCCCACAAGGAATTCATGCTTACTAGTCACACAGATGCCCATACTAACTGTCCAGGCACATGTGGTAAATGCAGAATCTCAGGAATGAACCGAATGTTCAGATAACACAATGGATGGCCAAATATCCCACAGAACCACGGATCTCCCAAAGGGTGGAGCTTTGTTGAGCTGAGCTGAGCTGAGCTGAGCTGAGCTGATGGTAAAGCTCTCCCAGGATGGGAAGAGGCTTGTGACAGCCAAATACTCCGATACAGACAGCACAGAGTAATAGTAAAATTTCAGAGGTATCATCCAATCATTGTTCCCCTACCACAGGCTACAGCAGTTTGCTTACCACACCCTGGCCCCAAATATTGCCAGGACCAAGAATCAGACTCAGAAGATCCATTTCCCTTTCTCTGGCACTGGTATGTACACACTCAAGATTTCACCCCCATCTACCCACCACCATGCCTGGTCCATTTGGGTTCAAGTAAACCACAGGAAGGAAGCAGTCACAAGAGGGAGAGTTGCTTCTAGGCAAAGGATGGGAGGCTTCTGTACCCTTGGGAGTTTTAAAGAAATTCCCACATCTTTTGGTATAATTCCGATATGGATTTGAATGGAGACTGTACTGCTTATTAACCACGTGAGCCCCTGTGAACCTCAATATCTTCATCTGGAAAATGGGGTTGCTATGGATGGGACTTCAGAGTTATCACAAGAGCTAAAGAGAAAGGTAAGGCTCTCCCTGCACAATGTCTGTGAGACATGATATCATGCTGCCAGTCCATGCTGTCAGCAACTGCTAAAGAAAAAGAAAGAAAATGCATCCTTCTGGCAGTGCCTCCCTGGAAATGAGCCCGAACCCCAGGTACAAGCCAGTGCAAAGCCTTCTGGGAACTTCTGATCAGACTTCTCTCCTGCTACCTGGGGGATGTGGGAAACACAAAGGGCCTTCACTCATCAAGGACTTCACAGCAGATACTAGTTTGAGAGCACTGCTTTAGAATCTAGAGGTCAGCATCTGCTTCTTGAATTTGCAGAGTATGTCTCTGAACAGTTCCCATTGGTGCATTCCTTTGCCAGGTTGTATTTTCTGGCCGTCACATACATGGCAGGTGCCTTGGGATTAGAGCAAAGCAGTGATGTCTTTTTTCACATGGCAGAGTTAAGAAGGCATGGAGAAGAAGGAGCGTGTGTGTGTGTGTGTGTGTGTGTGTGTGTGTGTGTGTGTGTGTTCCCATGTATGAATGTCCCTGTGTGTATATTCCCATGTGTGCCCATGTGTGCCAGTGTGTGTGTATGTGTTGTGCTGCGCTGCATGTACATGCTTCTGTGTGTGTGTGTGTGTGTGTGTGTGTGTGTGTGTGTGCCTGCCCAAGGTTGACATCAATGTTATTCCTCAGTTACTTATCCATTTTTTAACATTACTTCTTCACAGAGTCTTTTACTGAACCTGGAACTCAACACTTTGACCAAACAGACTGGCTAGCAAACCATAGAGATTATAGGTGTGAACCACCTAACCCAGGTTTTTACATGGATTCTGGGGACCTGAACTCGGACCCTCACACTTATATAGCAAGTGCCTTACAGACTAAACCATTTCCCCAGGTCTACAGTGAGTTTTTAGGACAATGATACTCTTCCATATGCACTAGTAATTCTTTAACAGTCACAGAAATCTTCAAATTCTGCAAAGGTGCACAGCCTCCAAGTACTCCAGAGGCAGAGTCTCCTGACAGCAGAGTCCTTGTTCTCCCAGTGTACATAGACTGTCTGGACCGGGGCAGGAAACTCACCATTCGACTCCGCTCATCTTCAAGATTCCTGAGAACAGTGGCAAATTCTTGCAAAGATCTTGCTGGAAGAAAGAAAGAGGCCATGAGGTGAAGCAGCATGATGGGTGTGCAAGAGCAACTTACAGATTTCAATTGTGATGGGTGAGCAAGAGCAACATACAGATTTCAGTTGTGATGGGTGTGCAAGAGCAACTTACAGATTTCAATTGTGATGGGTGTGCAAGAGCAACTTACAGATTTCAGTTGTGATGGGTGAGCAAGAGCAACTTAGGGCTTCCAATCGTGACGGGTATATATGGGCAACTTCCTGATTACAATCCCTTTATACACAGAGACACCCAAAGTCAACTGCTGTCCTCAGACTCCCTCATCCCTTAATCGTTAATCATTAGAGGCAGGATGACCCAGAAATGCGGGTTAATTGCACCTGGAACACCAGCGAGAAGGATTTCTCCAAGGAAAAGTCCCGCCTGTTCCTGAGAGTTCCCAGGACTGGTGAGGTGCTGGCAGGTTCCCAGTCCTGAGGCTGGAAAGGGCAGAGTCCCATGAAGAAATTGAAGGATTTCCTGTCCAGGATTTATCCTTCAATCTTTTGCATCAAAATCTAACCTTGATGGGGGTGGGGGAACATAACAACTAAACAAATAGTTCTGTGGGCAACAGAAGCCACATCTCTGGCATCTTCTTGGGTTCCTTCTCCCTGAGTTCTGAAGCCACTCATTGATAGAATGCAGCCTGCAGCACAGCTGACAAACACAGATGGTCTTTGCCAGAATCTTTCTTTCATGAAGGCACCAGGCACTTAGTGAAAGAGCCCCGATCATTAGGATACTTGGGCACACTGACTTACAACAAGGATACATTTTCCTTGCTCTCAGCTACTCCCCAGCTGTCTTTGCTCATACCCAGATCCTGGTCTTCTGCTTGGCAACAGACTCAAGAACCATCTAATGGGCTAATGAACAACCTTAGGTTTCTCAATTTTCAGTTTTTTGGTACTGGAAATTGAACCCAGAGCCTACACTAAATAGATGCTCTACCCTTGGGCTACAATCCCAGCCCCATTTTCTTCTTAATTCTTCCTCCCTGTACAGCATCAACTAAGATGCCCAATGTAAGGGGCAAAACAGACTGTGAGACGCTAGCAAAGTGATGAGTCTTGACTTTCCCAGTGCTCTGTGCAGAGCAGCCTCTGGAAGAAAGCAGGGGACAGGAAAGAGGGGAGCAAGGCAGCATGGTGACATACAGGAGTTCACCTCAGCCTCTCAGTAAGGAAACTAAAGAGAGAGGTGGTGACACAGGGAGCTGCCACTGAGCCCTGCTCCTGCTCTGTAGGCAAAGACAGTTACCTGGCTCCAGCCACCTGTCACCAGGCCAGAATGGAAAGCCACTAGATTAAATTTTTAAGTTTTAAAAGCTAAAGAAACAAAAACGAAACAAAGGAACTTGAGATAAGTTCACTTACATTTTAATTAGGTTTAAAATAAAAAACATCAACTAAAATATAGTGCCAGTCTTATCTCAGTCCATTAGCTTACAGTATGTCTTAGTGCCATAGTTGGATTAAGCGGGGGTGGGGGGATGGGGGAATGGGAGATGGAGGGTGAAGGGAGGGAGTCACAAAACCAGCCAGAAGAATACTGGAGGAAGGTGGACGGGGAGCGTCTCATATGAACTCCAGCTTCCTTCTGCCACTGGCTGTGAACAGGGTCAACGCAGGGAGAACCCCTATCCTGACCTGCACATCTGTGCTCTTCCACTACCTGCAGGATTTCTGCCCTTACAAATCTTATGGGCTTCCTAGCCCAGGAAAAGGCTTGCTGGGGTGAATGGCAAATGTTCTTATCTTACTTAAGGTCATGACTTACCTATACACATCTCATCGTCTGTTTCGGCATCTCCTATACACTGAAATTTAAATTCATTTAAGGAATCTGCAAACTTCCGCTTTGCTGAAGACAAATCTAATAAAAAAGAAAAAGAGGAAAACACATTATTGGCATTAAATTGGCCTTCCTACTTGTTGCCCTTTTTAAGTCCTTCTGTGTATACTTAGCAAGGTTTGTTCCTGAGACCATTTCACAGAAGAAATGTTAACTCAAAATAGTAAGGACCTGTTTATACAACAATACTTTATATACTTTATATAAATAGTTAATATTTTATATATAAAGTAGTAATTTGCTCTGGAAGTTAACATTTTTATTGCAGTTGCTTTAACTATTCAAATCTTACGGGATGGAGATATAATTCAGTCGTAAAGTGCTAGCCAAGCATGCACAAGGCCCTGGGTTTGATTCCCAGCACCACAATGTATGTATGTACATGTATGTACAAATGTATTTATATATGTATGTGTGTATGTATGTATGTATGCATGCATGTATGTTTTAATACAAGTTTTAAAATCCTGTGTCTGCTTTCTGCAACCACACACTGAGACATATCATCCCCATTTGACGCCTGAGAATATTACCACTTCAGGAGACCAGGGAGGAACCCTGGCTCAGAAGCAACGTTAGAAACAGCATCATTCCTGCAGCCCACAAGTCCATGCTGCTAAACCTTCCATGTGGTCAGCACAGCTGCCCCCAAGTGTGATTCTGGAACACATCCTCTAGATCCAAAAGAGAAAGCAAGAAGAACCTGTGCTGACCTGTCTTAAGGCATAAGCATGCCTGGCTTCCTCCTCCAAGTAAAGACAGACGAGGCCCAAGTTCTCAGACCCTCCCAGACCCATTCTCATTAACCTACAGCTTGACAAATTTCCAGTCAGTTTCCACAGTCACCAGAAGAACAAAGCCCTACCAATGTTTTCTATTGGGATTTTCCTACGAAGCCAATCCCACACATGGTATCTATAATGAAGACTCTCTGGGGTCCTTGTCAAATTTACAAACTCGGCTTCCCTTTAAGACAGTAATAAAAGCTAATGATCCTTCCTGAGGCCTCAGCTTCTGTTCAGGGCAGAAAATCACCACGGTCCATTTAAGTGGCCTGACAGACAAGACTGCGTAACTTCATTCCACATGCAGCCTTCCTGCAGATTAGGTTAATCATTCAAATTACCATCTACCCAGGCTTCCCACACTGAAGGGGAAATGGCATTAAGTTCAAACTCCCAGCGGAGGGGAAGAGGAGGTGCAACTGGTATGGAGGCCTGGATTTAATAAGATGGGAGGGTCTGGCTTTCCGGATCAACATGACTTGCTAAATAAAAGCAACCCTTCCCTCAGTTGAAGGTCATTCATTTAGGCTGTTTCCATTCCCTAGCTGTTATGGAACAGAGCAGCAGTGAACACGGTTGAGAAATTATCTGCGGAGTATAGGATGCCAGGCATATGCCCAAGGACTGGTATAGCTGGGTCATATGGTAGGTTTATTTATGGCTTTTTCCAGAGACAGACATACAGACACACACACACACACACACACACACACACACCATAAATTTGAGAGAAAACAAGGACAGGCTCATGGGAGGGAACAGAAGGAGGGCAAGGAAGGAAGGGGAAAATGAGGTAATTACATTGTAATTTCAAAACAATTGTTTTTGTTAAAGTATCCTAGACCCTCAACACTTCCCTCTTTTGCTCCCACTTTCTCCTCTAAGGTTAAGACTGACGGTTCCTTTCCTTTGATTGATTTGTCTCTTCTCCTGCTATGTGCAGTACAATCTTCCTGGAGTTTGCTGAACAAACCCAGCCCCTAGAGTTCCTTTCAAGCCAGAGCTGTTAGTAAAGGGTCATGGGGCTCAGGGGGTGCTTCTGTTCTCAGTCTGGAGCTCATGCTACAGAATAGATCCTGGACCATCTTCCCACAGCTCAGATGACATGGGTCCTAGGCAAAGCACTGTGATCTACAACACAATAGGAGGCTCTTAGAGTGGAAAAGAACACAGGATCCCATTTCCAATCCCTCCCTGGTACAGATGCTTTCATGGAAGACTCCTTAATAAACGCTCCAAACAGGACAGCAGCAGGGAACCAGGCTTCTCTCAGAACTGGCCTCTCGGACAGAGGGTCTCCTTCAGAACACAGCTCACTCCTGGCAAGCCTCAAAGTCAGAACACTGTAGGGAGGAAGGAAACTCAAGACTCTGTCTGGACAGGCAAGAGAGGAGACAGAAAGGAAGTTACTTCAAAGTGGAAGAGAAGGACCCCAGGATCCCCAAAGCACAGCACAGCAAATGTGAGTGCGCTGCACACAGTCATAGTTTAGTCCAAATGTGCCCTCGACCAGAACTCACGAAGTAAGGCCTGAGCCAAGAGTGTGTCTGAGTGGGATATTTTCACTTTCTGCATGGCAATCCTGCCTCGCCAGCAGGACAGGAAAGAGTTACGCTGACAATCACCTCAACAAAGTAGAGAGGGAAATGCAGACTGGGTTTGGGAAAGCTTCCAGGGTGCACCTGAAAGGCTGTGCTGCCAGCAGCTGCCAACAAGGATGAAGGATCAGCTTGTACTGAACAACAGGGCCTCTGTGGGGCCCTCTAAAGGCATGCTGCCTTGCCAGGTTACAGGCACAGGGTAACCCGATTTCACTGTCTGGTGGCCCACAGCAGATGAGAGGCTTAGATCTGGGCCTGGTGGAGGATGAGGTAATGAGCTGCACTGAAGTCAATACAGGGCTCTAGGCCAGGAAGGACAGCTGAGCGCAATGAGAATTCCAGAGCCTGGCACCTGGAAAGGAGCTTACCTTGGACCTAGTAGAGAAGTCTTTCAGGGAAACTACAGTAGACACCTGTTGTTTGGCTTGCTCAGAATCTGTGCCTGGCCTGAAGTGCAGCACCTCCAGCTTATTCGAGGGAACTACCCTTCTCCATTTGCATGCTATGAAACACATGTTATAGAATGATCAGTCCCAAACTCTTGCTTCTACTCCAACCAGCTTTGGATCCTGGGTTCGAATTCAGATTCCCTATTTATTAGCTATGTTAATTGGCCACAGATTCGTCATAAAGTGTCAGTCATTGGATGGAGTCTGGGGGTGTCCCACTTGTATAGTAGGGAGACCTACTATACAAGCATTTTTGCATACTTGTGACTCATCAGGTCCTCTGGACTGAGGTCTCTGGAGTATGTGGGGGCTCCATACTGCTTAGCCCCTTAATATAGCCCCTCAGTGGTATTTGGGACAATGGTGAGGATATCAAAAGTCATTGCTTCTTAATAGATATCCTGGTATAGATCATCACTCTAGGCATACAGCTCTCAAAAGGTAGATGCCTGGAGCTTTTGCTTCCATGTAAGTAAGACTCAAATACGCACATTTCAGTAAGAGGGACTGAAGGGCTGGGGCTGGGGCTGGGGCTGGGGCTGGGGCTGGGGCTGGGGCTGGGGCTGGGGCTGGGGCTGGGGCTGGG